GAACTTTCTGATCCTTACTTTCATGTACAAAAACTAAAACGGAAGGAGAATACAAAAATAAGTATGGATGTCGAAAAGCCGAAAAGATAAAGGCGAAAGAAAAACAAAAGGAAAACTAAACTGGTCAAAATAAAACATGAAATTATCAAAATAGGAAAACAAAGAATAACCGAAGGATATGAAGAACCTTAAGTACAAGATAAATGGAGAAAAAAATAAGAATATTGTCGTCCCTCCAGAAGTAGCCTAGCTAGGTGTTGTATGTGCGTGGAATATACGTGTCTGTTCCATGTGTGTGGGGAACTGCCAAGGACACCGTCGGCAGGATATAGAATTCCCTCGGGCCGTTTTGCCAAGAACAAAGACTTTTGTTAAAAGTACTAATGCCGGCGTTTAACGTTTGAAGGGAATATATGTGTATGTTGCCTGTGTGACGTGGTAGGGAGGTGCCAGACGCCTACTTGCCACAACTCTAAACGTTCAGCATCTTCCGGAGGGCAGCAAGACTTTAACCGGAAACTAATTAAGAAGCACGCTTTGGACCTATCCAGGAAATATTGGTGCGAGGCCTTCACCCCCAACTACCACTATAGTAGCCCCACTGCCTGCCCTATCCACACTCGATAAAATTGCTGCCGCATACGTCATCACTTCAACACTCCCCAGGATATACCTTGAGGTTATCTTTAGTCTTGCTATACTATGACTATACCGCCGTCTTAGTCATCACTGAGAACCACCACCGATCTCTTCCGTACTTCATCGCCATCTGTCTTGTATTTCTCTCTCATAGCCTCCTCGCAAAAAGTAGGCAAAGACCAACTACTGTATAGCCTTTAGCATGTTCACTAACACCACCAGAAGGCCTACTAGCATATCTAGTATGGACACTAGCATCTCCAATAGGGACATTGCAACCACAGTAAGGGCACTAGACCGAGCGGACAGCACACTGCACTTGGGATCCTGTGGTCCCGGGTTCGATCCCGGGCGCCGGAAAGAAAATGGATAGTTTCTTTCACCCTATGCCCCTGTTACCTAGCAGTAAAATAGGTACCTGGGTGTTAGTCAGCTGTCACGGGCTGCTTCCTGGGGGTGGAGGCCTGGTCGAGGACCGGGCCGCGGGGACACTAAAAGCCCCGAAATCAAGATAACCTCAAGAAGATATAAACAAATGAACCAATCCACAAGGGCCATGATGAGGGTTGTAACTGGGTATAGCTTAACATGAGCTACTGGACAGAAAAGATCTAAGCCTAGCAACAGGAGTCAGGTCTACTATACTATCCACCACTTAAAAAAATAAATAGGCCTAGTCCCAAGCACTGTACGCCCTTCCCGTGTCCCCTTCCACCAACCTATCGTCTGCCAGTCCAGATAAACCTAGTTAAAATGTGTAACTTAACTTCTCAAGACTTGAATGAATTTTGGTGTTCAGTTTCTGAACCCACTATGTTCCTCTAATCTTTTTCCACTACCGCCTGAAGTATGTGTATGGGTTGCATAATAAATGGATTAAAATATATACCCCCCCCCCCAATTATATAAAAAGCTGGGGCAAGTCATGGGGGTCCTCCTTGAAGTTACCTTGACCTTGAATGTAATGTCCTCAATTACATTAGTTAAATGTTTTTGTCAATATACATCTCGTTCAATTTTTATGTTTTCTGTTAGGCTATACTGAACTAATGAAAATCAAATTGCAGCAAGTTCACATAGTAAACAATTATACATGTAAACACTTTAGCATTTCTGAATACAGTATAAATATTCCGTTCAAATCCTATGAACAAGTCTAGTGCTGTCAGCGCCTCAATCTGCCCTCGCTTTCACTCTTGTCTGTATCCTGCAGGCTCGCGCCATCTTATAATTCCAGTTCAACGGTCCAAGGTGTCTAGGTAGCACTTGCGGTCAGCAGAGGAGGAAGGCTTACCCGAGACACCGCATGTAGATACTAGAGGCTCTAGGAAGGTTACGCGGACGTAATTTGCTACAGCCTAGCAAACGTGAAGCCACTTCCTATACCTACTCGAGTGGCCTTGATGTGATATTTCCGCAGTTTGTGCTATACTGTTCACGCGCCTTGTGTGATTTTTTTCTATCTTCCACGAAACCTAATATTTGTCTTGCCATGTTTTGTGAATACCATGGAATTCATGCCACTGACGACATATTTGACACGTAATGACACCTCTATAGTTTAATATTTCTCACCAAAGTTTTGATCAAAGGATGTCATGTATACTTTGCACCATATAGGGGGGATTTTGCACTATCTTTTCACCATAGAGATTCATACTGTATCTAAAATCTACCAATATATTTTCCACTGGTGAAAAGCGTTATTGTTCTAAATATTTCTAACACTTTATCGGCGTAATAGGCTACATTAACGGCTTCAGTGCCACATTAATAGATGGAGACATTTAAAGGCTATCTTGACATAATCTTGAGATGATTTCGGGGTTTAGCGTCCCCGCGGCCCAGTCCTTGGCCAGGCCTCCTTTTTGTTACACACCCCCAGGAAACAGCCCGAAGCAGTTGTCTAATTTCCATGTACCCCATTTAATGTTAGGTGAACAGGGGGCATCAGGGTGAAAGCTATTTAAGAGCACTACAATGCCTCTGTTTAATAAGTAACCGAACTATATGTTTAACAGATCTCAAACCCTGTCCATGGAGGACAAAAGGAAGTGTATTTATGCTGGTTAGCATTGTAAACGTAAAAAATATAATTTATCCATAAATAGAAATAAACGTAATTTTCCCCAAGGACACCGAGCCACAACAAAATAAAGAGTAAGATTAATCACAAAACGTCAACATTACCAACTCTTCATTAGGCTATCAGCTTAAACTAAATTAAATTAAGAGACGAGCAAACAATAACTTAACACAATTTTCTCTTTTAAACATATTTTATGATTAAAATAACGCAACGGGGACAAAAAAAAACTCACTGCATACAAGGTTCTTCCTGCAGTAATTACCTACATTTCTGAGACTTGTCGAAGACAGGAAGTATGATAGGTTGATCAAGTTCTCCCCCTTCCCTACCCAAGGGTGAGGGAGTCCACAAAGTCAAACCCATCCTTAATTAATAGCGCGTCACACTGACATATGGCCTAAGGCCTACTCTACCTAACGTGACTGACCTTCCCGCCATCTCCCACAATAGGCAAGTTATCCACGATTAAAAAAATATACTAAACTAGTTGAAAGCATTGGGGGGGGGGGGGGGGTCTGACGGCTAAGTAGACAGCGCTCGGGGGTTCGTAGCTCTAAGGGTCCGGGTTCGATCCCCGGCGGATGTGGAAACAAAGGGGCACTTTCTTCCACCCTGATTCACCTGTTCACCTAACAGTAAATAGTTACCTGGGAGTTAGATAGCTGTTACGGGCTACTTCCTGGGGCTGTACGTGAAAATTAGGATTAAGGACTTGCCCGAAACGCTATGCATGCTAATGGCTGTACAAGAAGGGAAGAACTCTCGCGCGTGTGTGTGGGTGCATGCACTGAATGATAATAAAGAAACTAACCCTCTTTTCAAATTAAAAGGTTTTCTAACAATTATAAACATAAGCACTCATGCAGCTGAACCCAAAAGGTCAAGTTAAACCTCTGCAAGGCCAAACAGGACAAAAAAAAATTGATGAGCATAATCTAAAAACCATCCCAGACCCAAGAAAAGTCAATGATCCACTATCATAGTCAACAGATCACGAGTGTGTCTAGACAGGTAAAGATCATTTATACGTCTCCTGTGAATCACCAAGCAGCGGAATACAAAACGAGAGTGAATGTATGCGAGAAAACCGCTTACAACATTTCACCAGTGAGTGAGTGAGTAACAAACTAGAGTGAGTCACCCTTGACCGTCCAAGGTGGTACTGTAGGCGCCAAGCCCCAAGTTTTTGTGCCCCCCGTGACGTCACAAGTACGCTTCTACCGTCTTTGCACCAGTCATAATTTCCTTTGTAATACAGCCACTGGGAAGAAAAATTCAGGCACGCACATTTCTTAATTATCACCTGGTGAATAACAGCTCAGGCCGGAGTCCGGTTGTCTGAGGAGCTGCCAGGTGTGGCCAACGCTAAACAAAAGCAAAAGTCAGCCATATACTTTGGTTTCTATATCGTTGCAGACCACAAAATTATCACCACGACTAATAGAACTTATCAATGGCGTCGTGTCATTGTTCTTAAAGAACAAAATGAAATTGCAGCAAAGCCTATCGTTTCGTGCGAGGTAGTTGCAACCTCGTCAAGCTCATTCACGTAATTGTCTAACCTTCGCTTGAAACAATGATAAGTCGCTAATTACAAGGAGAATTGTCGGTTGCTGCCGCCTGCTCCAGGTACACGAGGCTCGAGGTAATAGGGTAACTCGCCCTGGCGTCATAATTAAATATCAGTGCAGATAAACGTGTTGAAAAAAGTTGGATAGAATGATAAACGCCGGGAGGAAAATGCGCAGATTACGGGTTAAAATGATATGGAAGAGGAAGTGCCTCCGGTATGGGCCACCAAGAAGGAAAAATTACTTATCAACGCTATGAAATAAATTCAATGATTTTTTCTTTTGACCAAGCGCCGGAATCTAAACGATTACTCAATAAATACCAGACATTTAATGATAAAAGCTGTCCAAGTACACAATATACCAATCAACGATGAACACTTTATGACTTAACTAGCTGTATCCGACAGTTTCACCTGGGCAGGTCAAAGCCCTCGGTACATTAACCATATTAGAGATTCTAATTCCCTTTCCTTACAGATATATCTTAGGCCCTCACCAGCCACCCCCGAGACACCACCGATATTCTTGGCACACTATTCCCGAAAATTATGTTAAAGTATTTTTCCATTATCATAAGGGCTCGCGTTTTATTCCACTTTTCGAACTAGCGAATATCTATAAACGCATTTATTAATTTGATCCATGTGTATGTTAATTAGTGTGTGAGACAAATCCTCAATGAGGGAAAACTTACCAACCTCTTAACGGGAGTATAATCCAAGCACAAAGTATTTCACATGGGACGCGTCCCTCAAGAGCGACGACACACACTTAACCCTTGATGGCTGAGGCAAGACTGAGGCGGGCGAGCGCTCCCTCACTTATATAACCTTTCCTCCCCCTTGCCACACGTCACCACAAATCCCACCTCGGCAGTTATCACATAGGCAAATTATGTATTTTCCCCCACTAATTCAGCTACAGTAATACAGATACACATACCGTTAAAGGTTAATTGAAATAATGTTAAATAGATATATGTATGTGTTGCTGGGTGCGAATTAGTAAGTTGTATGGTAAGACATATTATGTATCCGGGAAGGTCTTAGGAACCGTAGCTACGTTATGCTAACCGGAAACAGTACTAAGTATAGTAAATTCACAAGACATTCATCCTGACTACCATGTAAATTACGCTAAACTAGTAACATCAAACTCTATTTAGAGACAATTAATAATTAAGACAATTGATTACACACTCGGCACTAGACACCAGCGGGAAGAGTGATTTAAGTGTTTTTTTAAGTCTTCCGGAACTTTGCATCTGGCAGCAGAGTCGTGGCGGAGTCCGGAACGTTTGAAAACATAATAGCAAAATTCAACGATAAAACTCATCTTCTCGGACGAGAATGGTTATATAATTTGTAACTGTAATATTCAGGTATGTCCCTAGACAATACAGTATATACTGAACCACTAACTCAGAAGTTACAGCCCTGCTCCTGTGCCAGGTAAGTCCACTACGGGCTCACTATAGCCTGTGCTACTTGGAACTTTTTGTTCCCAGTAGCTGAATCTATAACAACAACATGTCCCGCAAGACAGCCGTGGTATACTATTTCAATGAACAAATCCACAAGGGCCGTGATGACGATTCGAACCCACCCACGGGATGTTCCCAGATGCGCCTTAGTCAGCTGTGCCACGACATGGTCAAAGAATTGCACCCTGGAGTGCTTTTACCAAGTTGTGGTACAGTTGACTAAGCTGCGTCTGGGAACATCCCGTGCGTAGGTTTCGAACCCTCGTCACGGCCCTTTTGGATTTGTTAATTTGGTATATCACGCTATTGTGATTTCTGTGTGTACTATTTCAAGTACGTTTATTGAAACAATAAAATACATGTCAAAGGGATAGAGTAGCTTAGGCTATTTATACCCTCCTCTACTTCAAGTCCCTCAAGGGGCGCACAACTCCAGTGAGTACAAATCCACAAATCACAGTACAAGAACTACATTTAACATTGCAAGTTAATATAGTAGGCACCGGATATAAGTGTTACACTCTTGGGGCAAAATGTTTGTAGCTCCTAAGTATTCTTAATATCATGCCATTATCACACATCCAAGCAATATTATGTAGTTCACTATTTATTTCCTTATTTCTGTAGTTACCAATATGTTGACACACACATAATGTTCTAAGGTGTGGGCGTGCGGCATACTACATAATTTACACTCCTTATCTTTTTCACTGACATCAACACCATATTGCCAGATATATTTGTATCCTACTCTTAATCTCATGTAAATTGAGTCCTTCCAAGTAGACTTTCCTCTATCATAAGTGAAGGACGAATTTGTATTTATTATTGCATAATTCTTAAGTGTGTTAGTTCTGTCCACCATTGACATTCTCTTACATTTTTCTTTGTCCTCTTTGATGTTCTTGATTATTGTCTATTTGTTTCAAAGTTTAACAACATACAACATCGACAAGAGGTTTTTTTCCGAGGCTCTCTTGGCTATGTCATCAACTACCTCTTTCAACAGTATTCCCACATGCGATGGGATCCACATGATTTTTACTTTATACCCATTTTTTTCCAATGTCTTAACATTCTCTCTACACTATCACAATATTCTGGTATACTGGGTGTCTGCTATTTAAAGACTAACGCTCCTCTACTGTCTATAAAGAAACAAGCATTTTTACCACATTTGACTACTTTTTGTAATCCTGCTAATACACCTTGGAGTTCAGCCTGTGTTGAAGAGACATTGTCAGTCAAGCGGCGTCCAATAACAGTATCTACAGAGCCGATGTCAGTGTACTCCCTGATCAAGACTCCACATCCTGCCTTCCCATCCCTAGCTACTGATCCATCACAATATACGTGTAGAGTGTTTTCTGTAGGTAATTTTATAATTATACAATCATATGTTGCCCTCAACTCTCCTATCTCATACATATTTTTTTTTCTTTTGCAGGGGAATAATTACTACATCTACGTTACAATCCTCCCATAGTGATGTGAATTGTTTCTTAGGCAAAGCAATACATTCTGGAATAACATCATACTTTATAACATTAGAACATAAGGTACTCATATATGCTCTCTTATTATGCTTTAACATACATTGTTCATTACTTCCCATCTGTTCAACTGAGAGGATTGATTCATTAACTCCCCCACCTCTCATTAATCTAATGGCAGATGCTACATTTATCTCTAAAACTCTATCCCCAATACTCTTCAGATTCAATTCCATCCTCATTATCTCAATCATAGCATTTCTTGGGCATCCTAAGATTATTCTCATGGCTTTATTTTGTATCTTCTCCAACTTGCCCAGTCTACCAAAACAAGGAATGACAGGTGTAGCATAATCAATACAGTACTATATATACAATACAGTATATCATTCGTAGTACAGGGACTCCCACTCCCTTTCCACAGCATGCCATGGCCTTCAGAGGAAGACTTACGAGTCCGATACAAAACCGATTCTCAAATGAATCCGCCACTTTTGAGCTTAACGGGGGAAAATTGCACGGAAGACAGCAATTTGGAGCATGAATACGAATATATGCTACATACACAGTGTTTCACATGGGTAACAGCCAGACTTCAGAGTCGTGGAATCAACAGTGGGGATGGCATCATCTACCAGTGAAGACGGCATCATCCAGCACCGGTGAAAGCGTCATCAAGTACAGCAAGAAACGTAATATCCTGCACGTTACCCGTGGGGGCGGGGGCTTGGGATATGGTAGTGTTGAGCTGGTGGTGTGGTAGGCAAGGCGACACCGTTCCAGTAGGAGAGGGACCCAAGGCAGCAGTAAATAAAGACAGTATTGAACGGAATGTTGAGTTATCAAATAGGTCCCTTAAAAGTGTCATTAGACGAGAACTCCTGGATGAATTTGAAGAAAGTAGAACTGTACAAACTGGAATTAGCAGGTCCATTGTTCATCACAATGAAATGTGTGAAGTAAAACATGTGTATGGGACCAGTAACAAAGTCAGTAGACTAACAGATGTTGTCACAGCTCGTATAAGACTTGGCTACAAGTATCTCTGACAGTTCGGCTTGTATAGGGATCTAGATGAAGTAAAGTGTAGTGTGTGGACAAAGACAGGGACACACACTCGAACACTATATCTTGGATTGTAGTAAAATTGAGTCATTTAGAGATAAATCTAAGCTCACTCTGTATGATATGGCAACCTATCTTGTTACCAAGGATAAATTACCTGAAATCCTTGCACTGTATCCACATTTCGCTGCCAGTAGATGAACGACATATGAAATTCAGAAACAAGTAGTGTATTGTGAGGACTAATAATAAACAGAAGCTCACCTATGAATCTGTAATATCCCCATTGGTCAAACTATTATGTATTAGCGATAAGACCTACCATTAATGTATGATGACACTGTAAATATATAGCTCTTGAAATAGCACTTTCTCTGTAACTAGCTGACATTGTAACTGTAAGGTGTGAAGGATAGAGGAAATTGTTTAGGTAATAATCTAAGATGAGGTCTGATAAATACCTTTTGTGCCCTCTGTAATGCTTTTGCGCTACCGCTCACAGGATGAATATGGGGTGCACAATAAACTAGCCGCCTTCGGCGGCAACAATAAAAAATATCAACCGTCCCAGTGGGCGACGGACCCACTGGACTAACACGACACCTCAGGGTTGCCAGGTCTAAATTGCTGAAAGTAGCGAGCTGACGGTCTAAAAGTAGCGAATTTGTCATTAGAGTAGCCCAATTTTTTTTAGTGAATGATATGGGTTTCAAAGTAATATATTTGGATATATAGAGTACACTACACACTGTTAATTGTTTTATTAATATTATTTCTGCACATACACACACACACATTGATTTTTTGCCGCCAGAGGTGGATAGTTCATTAAGCATCCCCTATTCAACCGGTGAATGGTAGTTTATTGTGCACCCCGAACCCCGACCAGTTGTGTAACTGCAAGCCTAGCATGAACGAACCGACAATAAACATACTTAAACTTGAAATGGACTTTAATGTTTTTTCGGAAGCTTTATTTCCTTAGTTTCCGAGCTGTTTTCTTTACCGTGTATGTTGTAATAAACTATTCCTATATTTCCAATTGTTTCTCCCTGTGAAGATTATTAAACAATGGTGATTATAAGGGCGCGGAAGTTCAGCCTGGCCAGGGCCGCCAGCAGCCCTTGGGCCCGCCCCGGCAGCTCCCAGTCTTTAATTTGGCACCTTTGTGGCACCTTTGTGGCACCTTTGTGGGATCTTGGTGTAAGCCTAACATGTATATATACACTGGCTGCCTGTCCCCCCTACACAATGCTTTATTATTACCTATTATTTTATCATTTAATTTAAATATTAAATCAAATAATTTATTTAATTATTATAGTAAGTACTTAATAATTTAATAATAAGTAGTAAGTACATAAAAATAATTAAAAAGTGCAGTTTAGTCATAGGAGATTCCTAGATTGAAATTCACTACCAAATTTCAATATATCCAAGTATTTTTAGTGTGAAATGCTGTTATTATATGCATAAATTGTTGTTTTAATAATATTACGCTTAAACACTTGGGCTGGACGGTAGAGCGACGGTCTCGTTTCCTACAGGTCTGAGTTCAATCCCCGACCGCCCAAGAGGTTGGGCAAAATTCCTTTCCCCCGTTCCATCCCATATCCGTATCCTGATCCCTTCAGAGTGCTATATATAGTCGTAATGGGTTGGCGCTTTCACTTGATAGTTCCCCCACCCCCCTGAATAATATTACGAGAGCAGTATTTACGGGCTATTCATGCCCGTGCCACCTCTTGGGTGGCTTAATCTTCATCAATCGAGAGCAGTACGTCCTAACCAGACATTATATGATGATATCCTGAACAGTTGATAAATAAAAGTAATTGCGTAACTCCAGTTATCTAATACTTATCATAAATGGTATAAAACCTTATCATAAGCCAAGGGATTTGTAGATCAGTGTTTAAAGGGAATTCGGAAGTAATAATGACAGCTAATGCCATCTGTCGGCAAAAGAGAACACTATCAACTGGCTGGTCAACAGTGGCCATAAGATACAGCTTACGCCATCTGTTGACATCAAATTACACTTATAACAAATTACCCTGGAAAAACAACTAACGCCATCTAGTTTTTTTCCAACGCACTATAAATAGCCAAACAGCAACCCATAAGGTGGGTTGTTGTGCTCGGGTAGGAGGTTCCAAGCTCCGCCCACAAGAGGTATGGGGTGCATAATAAATGGCATATCATTGGTAGATCTTCTTTGTTGACATTCACACCACAGCCAATCACAGGAAGGGATCAGCTAAAGGCTCCATCCACTTAATAAATCATCTTTATTCAGCACACCATCCTTGCTTATGACATTCTGCTTCAACTTTAATCTCCCTAAAAAGTGAAATGTTAAGTATTTAAAAGTATTAATAAAGTGATAATTAAATACTGCAGGATGTAACGAGTGTTACAGAAACATGGGCTGGCTACCTAACTTGTGACGTCACCAGAGGGTGTTGCCTCACACAAATAATATCGGCGATACAATGCCTCCGTCCTCTTATGGGTCTACATTATTGAGTTAGATGGAAATTTCTGTCTTGTATAAAACAGAAATTGTTGTTCTTTTGTTCAACAACAAGGTTATTATATAAGCGTTGACATTCACACCACAGCCAATCACAGGAAGGGATCAGCTATAGGTGTCATCCACTTAGTAAATCATCTTAGTTCAGCCCACTAGTCCTGCTTATGGAATTCTGCTTTAACTTTAATTTACCCAAAAAAGTGAAGTGTTAATGATTTAAAGTGTTAATAAAGTGATAATTAAATATTGCAGGATATAACAAATGCTACATAAAAATGGGCTGGCTACCTAACGTGAGACGTTATTATTGGGGGTTGCCTTGTCACAAATAATGATACGCTGCTCTGCCCTCTTATTCGAGTAAATTATTCAGTTAAATGGAGATTTCTGTCAGGTGCAAAAGAGATATTGTTGTTCTTTTTCACAACAACTTTGTTGTGCACAAGGACCTATTTCTTAGTTTAAATTTTATTCATAAAAGTGTTGGTATTCCCCGCAACAGCCAATCACAGGAAGGTATTTCTGGAAGCTCGGCCTCCTTACGGACTCAGCACATCGCTCTAGCTCATGGCTCTGTTTATCTCTTGTATATACAAACTATGACTTTTTTCGATTACTGTTATAATTAATAATATGATATAAAAGTTTTTACACAAAATTGCTAAATTCTGCCATTAAATGGACTTTGTCTGGTATACTTACAAACATACACCAATTTATTACCATTCATTCATTATTAATTTCAAATGTAATATATACTGCCTAGTTTTTTCCTCTCGCCATTACTTGGTGCAATATTTGAAAGTTGTCTATTTATTTATTGATCTAACTATTATCTTGTATTTATATTTACAAGTTTCTCTGCTTGGAAGAAAACTCTGCATTGAATTGGGACTAATTTATTAAATAATATTATTTAGTATTAATTAATATTTACAATTAATTACAATTATTTATAGCTTAGTTACTTTCATGTAACTCGCAATCGTACATTCTTAACATTAATAGCCGAAATTAGCACATCTTGCTTTTAAATTAGCCCAAAAAAGTAGCAAGTAGCGAAATTAAAAATTTGGGAGCGCGGGGCTCTCAAAAGTAGCCCAATTCGCTATTTGTAGCCCAATCTGGCAACACTGAGACACCGTCCCAGTGGGCGAGGGTCCCACGATTAGTCACTCAAGTTACTGTTGGAACGGAGATGAGGGAGGTTGGTCATCGCTCGCTCAACAGACGGGCGGGGTCTCTGCGGTCGTGGAGCCTTGCAACCAGCTGTCTACACACGCACTTCACTGATAAGAGATATCACATATCTACTTGAGTGTTCGCATTGCGAAAAAGATATACGAGTCATAATTAGTAAAGTTCGAAAGTATCAAAAAAATAAATGCACGAATTTATGAAATAAGGCAAAAATATAGGACACGGATTTATTTCTAGAAGCGTTAGCAATAAATCAACTAATGTTCAGCTTTATTTGCTCTTATTAGGCCTTATGTAGATCATGTAGTTAAAACTTGGTCGTCATATAGAATGGTCATAAATTGACATCAACGAGTACAGAGAAGGATGACAGAGTTAATCCCTAGAATCAGAAGCCTCCCACATGAAGAGAGATTAGAGCTTATTATACATTCTATAGAAAGACAAAGAGAAATGAGTAACATGGGTGAGTATGCAGATGGATAAAGGGAATAACAAAGCTAATATTAGTAAGGTGTTAATATATCAACACAAAATAGAACGAGAAATAATGGATATAAATTGGATGTTTAAATTTAGGAAAGACCTGGGTAAATACTGGTTTAGAAATTTGTGGAACAGATTACGGGTAGCCTAATAGATGTGGGATCACGTCTCAAGCCAACAAATTCTCCTATGGTTTCCCAACATCAAGAAACTGTCTTACTGAAATGCCCTGATCCTAACCTACCAAACCACCCAAAACAGAAAACGAGACAGTACAGTATGTCAATTTCGTGAGCCGCTACCATTTTTTGGTACGATGATTTTTGGCCTTAGGTGGAGTATACGTCAAAATGCGACGTGCTATAAGGAGGTCGGGCTGATTGATTGATGAAGATTAAGCCACCCAAAAGGTGGCACGGACATGAATAGCCCGTAAGTGGAGGCCCTTTGAAGCCATTACCAGTATCAATAGATGATACTGGAGATCTATGGAGGTGAGGACGGGCTGCTCAAGCGTTGATTACGTGAATGAATGTTGGTTAATATAAATAGAAGCCGCCTGGTATGGACAATAGGCTTTCTTCAGTTCCTTAGTTTTCTTAATTAAGTAACCACTGTAATTGATCCAATGTATATCTAAAAATAAATTATGATTATTGAAGATGAAGGAAAGACCCAATACATGTGTAAATGTATTAAAAAACAAATTTTCGGATGTAACCAACATCCTTTCTCAAGGTACTGTATACAGATTATTATATACAGCACCTTGAATACAGAACATTGTATACAGCGCCTTGAGAAAGGATGTAGGCTACATCCGAAAATTTGTTTTTTAATATAGTTACACATGTTTGGGTCTTTCCGTCACATTCATTAAAACACTAGGGCATTGTAGTAAGCTTCTCCATTATGATTATTATATAAAACTAGTAGCTACAGCTTGTAAATAAACAGAAAACGAGATTCTCTATGTCTAAGTGTACACAGACATATCTGTGTGTACATATTTGCTATTGAAAAGAAGAGATTTTTTTTGCGCTGTTGTCTCACAGCCTAATAATCCCGGGGTTAGATTCCCTCGCTGGACGAGATGTTTCCTTACACCTGCTGTGTCACTAGAAGTATATAGCTACCTGGAAGTGTGGCAACTGCTGAGGGTTGCATCTTGGGGAATATTAGTGGTTATCATAGGCAGTAACAGGCATGTTGTTTCGTGAACAATGGGGAAACAATATACTCCTCCTTGGGCATGATCTTACGATTCATCTTCGGAACACACTGTAGCTATAGAGTTGAACGCCTTGTTGGTGTACCGTTCAGTTAACACACTGAATAAAGATACGAGATAAAAGTAGTAATTAGCAAAATCATTTGAGGCAGCGGTGCGCTGATCCAGACCACCGTTGGGTTAAACGGGTTATCTGTGATAAAGTTTTTATGAGTTCCTAGGAACTGAAGTGACGAGTCAGGTTTGGCCGGACTCGAGTAGTGTCTAAAACCTGTACGGCGTGAGCACCATGACGTCACAGTGACGTCACACACCTCATGTACTGGTTAGGCTGGCGTGTTTAAACAGTATTGATGACGTAGCGAGTGCGGACATTTCTCAGGTCTTAGTTCCTGTTCTTAGGTGGCGAACACATACATAGAAGTGTTGAATTAAAATGTCTATTTCTATACTGATCAAGAAATTTACACTAACATATATATAAAACCTTTAGCATGTCATGATCCATGGGTTAACCCTAGCGTCTAGGATAGTTAATTTAACAAATCCACAAGGGCCGTGACGGGGATTCGAACCTGCGTCCGGGAGCATCCCAGACACTGCCTTAATCGACTGAGCTACGACAGGGTTAAAGAGTTGAAACCTTAGTTCTACTGAACTTAACGTGATGCATCAAACTGTCATTTGATGCATCACGTTAGTGTGATCTCTGTGTGTGTCTAGGATAGTTATCCAAGATGATGGTACCATTCCCGCCATGTTCCAAAGATGTTCTCACAGATATATCTTTTTGTCATAGATTTTCCTATATAAGTTAATGAGATTTCCTCGTAAAACATTGGAGGGATTCGTCACATACCCACACATTATATTACCCGGGATGAAGTTTTAATGGCAATTCAAGTTTGAAAATCTACCGTCCCACATATAAAATACTTTCAAGAACTATGTTAGATGTTAGCCCAATGTTAGACCTCTGTAATTTTAATTATAAAAACGGCAGAACTCTCAATGAAAACAAAAGATAATCCCAGATAAAAATGGTTATGGAAATCCAAAGCCGCGCGGCTGGGATTACCCGGGAAGCTGTTTGGAACCCCGTCCTGGTTTAAAGATTTTCTCAATAACCTCATGGAATAAATGAGTTTCTCGGGTCACGCTTCAGCTGAGCTAGAGAGAGAGAGAGACACACACAGAGAGAGACACACAGAGAGAGACACACAGAGAGAGACACACAGAGAGAGACACACAGAGACAGACACAGAGAGGGGTGGGGAGGGGGACCGGTGTCAACACAGGTTAGGCTGAGTCACCACAAAATGACAAAGAATTTCCTAAAACAAATGAGGCGAGAGAGTGGTACGGTGGGCGGGGTAACGGACGGCCGTTGTTATGGTAACGGTCACAGGTACAGGCGTTGGTCTGGTAACGGATAAACAGATAAAATATCCTGTTGTCTTTTAACCCACAAACTACTGCGCGGTCGTTAACGCACCAAAATAGAACAGTACTACGTTATCATTAATCCACCAAAATATACCGAGGCTGTTCCCTCACAACATGGCTGGGGTATAAGGGAACGAGACTCTTACAGTAATTACCGAGTACGGTAGTTACTCGGTAATAACCAACGGTAATTACCTGTGTACCTGAAGTGATGGTACTCAACCTTCAAGTACCTGGGAGTGTGATCCAGGTCGCAAGGTCCGGTGTAAGGGGTCCGTTGACCTGATAGCTTACTAACCGGATCAACTGATAGGTTTCTCACCGGATGAACCAACAGAAAACGGATGAAAAAGTTGTTTGGTAAGATTGATTAGATATGCTTAAGGAACACTATAGATTAACTTCAACAGAATTCGGGGAAACGTAGTCATAATTACCAGACTCAGATTAATGGTATAGCTACTTATTGAAGGTAAACTGCAGGTAACAAATGTCCCAATGCTCTCGTCATGTCTATTGTAAACTCAGTGAACAAGCGCTGAGACACACACCTCAACACAATATTAGTTAGCGCTGTAAAGTCTTAGGCCAAATGAAATGGCATCTGGCGCTCTGTAATTACTTAATTCAGACAAGGATACAATTAGCAGCCTACCCGAAGCTGGCTAAGCCTCATAGCCTACCCGAAGCTGGCTAAGCCTCATAGCTAAGCCAAGTCTCATAGCCTACCCGAGGGGCGGCTAGTAGGCTTGAGTCACGTTTCACGCCTGACCAACCGTCCTGCGACCCACTAGGCTTCTCCAGCCAGTCCCTGACCTACACTCTCTCATTTGAACCTTGGCCGCTCTGTGCTAAGGAAATTACCTAGTTTTCCTCTCCCAATAAACACCTGCAAGAGGTACGGGATTGAGGCAACAGGACGACTCTGGGGACACGTGACTCGCCTGAGTGGAGACAGGTGTCACATGGAAGAGTTACATACACCACACATAACTGAACTCTAATTTCGTAAATGAAAACGTCCTATTGATATTCGTTATTGATTTTGCATGTTGATGTAAACCCGAGCATCAGATTAGGGCTCCATGTGTCCCTTGTGATTCTTCTTCTTCTTCTTGTTGATACGTGCAATTTGCATGAAGATTTTCTCCTTTCGATGACTATGACCAATACTGGAGTATGCAGCACCTGTTTGGAATCCATACCTTGTGAAATATAAAACTATTGAAAAGAGTGCGAAGGTTCGCTACTAGTTAGTGCCAGAGCTTAGAGGGGTTAAGTTATAAGGACAGGCTGAAGGAACTGGATATCATAACCTTGGAGGACAGAAGAAATAGAGGGGATATGATAACAACGTACACGATACTGAGGTAATAGACAAGGTGGACAAGGACAACCTCTTAAACTTTGAGAAAGTAAGACAAGAGAACATAAGTGGAAGCTGGAATCGCGAACGAGTCGAAGGAATGTCAGGAAATACTCAACAAGTGGAATGTACAAAGGGAAGAAGTTGTGGAAGCCACCTCCATCCACCACTGTAAGGAAAGGTTCGACAAAGATAGTGATTGTTAGAATAGTGAAGCTTTAAATCAACGGGTACAGCAAGGCTGGTAGGCCTCAGTCACTCCCTATGAGGGAGGAGCTAGACCTAACTCCCCCATAGTCACTTATAGGTAGATGCAATACCTTCGCTTTAGGAAGGGTGAGAGAGACATAGGGTGACAGGGAGGGTGCGAGAGAGAGAGGAGGGAGATCTCCTTCCTTCCCTTTCTCCCTCTCGTCGCCACCGAGCGGAGGGGTTGTGGCGGTGAGAGGCAACGAGGGAGGGAGGGAGGGAGAGAGAGAGGAGACAGGAGGTGACCGGTCAGGTAGGACGAGATTCACCTGCCGTCTGGCGGGGAAATTACGTGCAACAAGTTTTCCCAGTCAGAAGGTTCTGTGTGACGCCGCCCATAACTCGGAAAACTATATATAAAAAATATATATCACACACATACGTACATACATATTTCAGTTGCCATGTCAAATGACTTAAGTTGGCCACTAGTTGTCAATCCAAGTTCCAACTTTATTCCTCAAGTGAAATTCTTTCAAAGGATCACTTTACTCAAACGTTAATAAATCCTCCACTACGTGTCAAAGGTTCAAGCAACAGGTTATAGTCGGTATCTATATGATAGCCACACCACACACACTAGTGCAGGCGATGAGTCACAATAACGTGGCTGAAGTACGTCCCTTCACCTTCTAGTGTGTGGTCTGGCCAACACACACACTAGAATGGTGTTATTTTAGATTCAGCTACTGGAACAAACGTGCTATGTAGTACAGGCTTTGGTACAGAGCAGAACACGAGGAGACGACGACGTTTCGGTGATTGACTGATAAAGATTAAGCCACCCAAAAGGTGGCACGGGCATGAATAGCCCGTAAACGTTTCGGTCAGCCCCGGACCCTTATGAAGCCGGTATCAATACAATCCGTAATAGCGAACACATCCGGCACAAAACAGATGTCTTCGTCCAACAAAACTTCCATGCCACGCTATTAAAAAAAGGCGACTTTTTTAATATATATAAATATTTACATTATAGTTGTACGTATAGTTAGATCTGGGTAAGGTTAGGTAGGTTGTTTTAGTAAGGTTAATTCAGGGAGTCGTTGGCAGGAAGTGAGTGAAGCAAGTTTCGAACATAATCAAAGAAAGTAGTGAAACAGAAGATATAAGAAACATAAGAATATAGGAAATAGGTAACATAGGATATAGGAAAGTAGTGAAACAGAAGATATAGGAAACATAAGAATATAGGAAATAGGTAACATAGGATATAGGAAAGTAGTGAAACATAAGAATATAGGCTATAGGAAATAGGTAACAAAGGATATAGGAAAATAGTGAAATAGAATATATTTTCCTGATGCTCCTAATGTCAAGTTTCTTTAACTAATTTGTTGTAAACCCGGCGGTCCTTTCTTTCAAGATCTTTATTGTCCCATTAGTCTTACATTTACAATGTAAAACAGCATTGTAATGTACAACAATTTATAATGATTGTTTTATTGTAAATCGCGTATATTCTTGTGAATTCTATCATGGTAAAAAATTATGACTTGCGCCGGGCGACATCCGCCAGAACTCAGCTGGAGGAATAATTAATGACGTCAGTGATGTCCTGTGATGATGGGACTGGAGGTCCTGTGTAGACGTCACTCCAGTTCCGCTGAAGATGTCATTGGAACTCTTCTGAGGACGTCACGGGATTTCCTGTGATGTCTTTACTGAAGTTCCTCTGATGAAGTCACTTTATTTACTCTGGTGAAGTCACCGAAGTTCCTCTGATGAAGTCGAGGAGCCTGGTTAACAAGGCCACCAACCAGGAGTCCTGGTCAGAGACCGGACCGCGCGGAAGTTGATCCTCGGAACCATTGAAAGGTAAGGTGCCCCCAGATGTCGTCACTAAGGTGCCCCCAGATGACGTCACTAAGGTGCCCCCAGATGACGTCACTGAAGTTTTCTGATGTCCAAGCCCTCGTGCACATCTCTAGTGGCTAAGTTCACCAATATTGGATGTTTTCTGGTGATGTTGGTCTCGCCTTGACTTCACTCGATGGCTCATCATCTCATACGATTTTACAGTGAAAAAAAATAAATGTTATTTTCAAAGTAACAGTTAAAAAAAATGATTATTTTTTATATTTTTTTCAAGCTCATTAATTGGCGATTAATGGACTTTAATTAATGGATAAGTCCAAAAATGTACATTTTTTTTCAAATAGACTTTTTTGGAAGCAGTTGCTTGTATTGTTTCAATGTGATCAATCGGGTTTCCTTGTTTGATACTGATCTTGTTTAATGTTTGGGATGATTGGGATTCAGGTCTAAAAAAAAAAGTAGAGGTCCGCGCCTGGGCTTGACTGTACTGTTTTGGAAGTGATTGTACTCATGTACATGAGTGATTGTACTCTTTTTGGAGGTAGTTGGGTTTTTTTGGTGAAGGTCTGCCACACTCCCCCACCAACACCTCCTCACCCCCCCCCCACCCCCTACATCAACACTTCCCCCATCACCCCCCACCTCCAACACCCCCCCCCCCTTCCCTCTCTCCCCTGGTCTCCACCAATAAGAGCAAAGGACTTGCAAGATAATGTATTATTTTCGTCGTGGAGACAACGGTATTCTTATAAGAATCTTACTGGGCGGTACCAGTCAGACACCAGCGATTCTTACCTCATAGAATTACCCAGACTCTTTTTTATTCCCTCTACCCACCATTTTCTCTCTCTCTCCTTCTCCACAATCTCTCACTTCCTCCCACCATCCCTCCATGACATTCCTTCTTTTGTTGACCAGACCACACACTAGAAGTTGAAGGGACGACGACGTTTCGGTCCGTCCTGAACCATTCTCGACTTGAGAATGGTCCAGGACGGACCGAAACGTCGTCGTCCCTTCAACTTCTAGTGTGTGGTCTGGTCAACATACTTCAGCCACGTTATTGTAACTCATCGCCTGCATTCCTTCTTTTCCTGTCATGCATCTCTCTCTCTCTCTCTCACCCCCTGTCTCACCTGTCTGTGTAGTCACCTATTTGTACCTACAGGATCGAGCTTTAGCTCATGGACCTCTCGTTGGTAGCCGGCGATTGTCTAATGGCATGACTCCTGACCTCTTTCCACATCACATTTCTGTGTCTCCGTGAGTGTGACTTGCGTTCGGGAGCGACAAGCTTGCTTGATCATTATTCCAGAGAGTCGAGATTCATAGTGTTTCTTGTGGCGATGTCGCCTTTATGTTCCATCTTACCCCGTCACCTTAAGCCACTCTCAGTCATCTGAAGTCCCTCAAGAATAAGGCACTTTATCGATGTATTCCAGGAGCATGGAACCTCCATTGGAGTATCCCAGGAGCATGGAACCTCCATTGGAGTATCCCAGGAGCATGGAACCTCCATTGGAGTATCCCAGGAGCATGGAACCTCCATTGGAGTATCCCAGGAGCATGGAACCTCCATTGGAGTATCCCAGGAGCATGGAACCTCCATTGGAGTATCCCAGGAGCATGGAACCTCCATTGGAGTATCCCAGGAGCATGGAACCTCCATTGGAGTATCCCAGGAGCATGGAACCTCCATTGGAGTATCCCAGGAGCATGGAACCTCCATTGGAGTATCCCAGGAGCATGGAACCTCCATTGGAGTATCCCAGGAGCATGGAACCTCCATTGGAGTATCCCAGGAGCATGGAACCTCCATTGGAGTATCCCAGGAACATGGAACCTCCATTGGAGTATCCCAGGAACATGGAACCTCCGTTGGAGTGAACAGTAAACATGGAGTTTACACTCGAGAGTCCCAGGAAGAAGGAACGCCACCCCGTTCAAGGAGAAAACTGTTCTTCAGGGAAATATGAAGTTTCTATGAAGCGTCTCAGAAATATGAAACCTCAATTGGGGCCCCCCTGGAACACCGTAATTCCACTGGAGTTTCCCGAGAGGACTGGGGGAAAATGGATTTCCATTAGAGTTCTAAAAGGAACTCATACTGGAATTTCACAGGAGGTACTAACGCACACTGGCGTCTCAGGAACACAGAACCTTCCACTGGATCGTCCCAAGATCACAGGATCTTCCACTGGAATACTCAGTGTAGGGAACGATGGGAACTCTCTGACACCCAAGGAACTCGCTAATACCCAAAGGAACTCGTTAATGCCCCAAGGAACTCGCTAATGCTCCAAGGAACGCGCTAATGCCCAAAGGTATGCCCAATAACAGTGTATCTCCCAAAGAAATCTTCAGCTGATAACCAAACCACAACTCAGAAGCTGGAGAAGCGACCATTATCATGTGTAAATCTTCAGATACTCCAGGTGTGAGGGATATTGGAGTGACGCACACTTGATCTATATTTGATTCTGGTAACTCAAGCAAGCACACAGCTCTCAGGAGGACGCTTGTCTCAGGATGTGTACCAAGGGCCTCGATACTGCCTAATGACCTCTCCCGTGACCTTTGACCTATATCAGCATGTAGTACACGCATTATGTGTACGCTAAGAGTATTTAACAAACAGCTAATATTTGCTCTTTTCCTTATAGGAGTAAATAAGAAAATCTACTGCTCAAGAAACACCAAAATAATCTACTGCTCAAGAAACAACGACATAATCTACTGCTTACCAAATCAAATCTACAGTTCGACAAAGACAAAGTATATGAACTTTAATTCTTATCTTACCATTTCCAAATATTTCAGTCAACAGGACTTTCCCGCCGTAGTGAACGTTGTGTTCGCTCCGTTATGTTATCAATGGGAAGACCCTTGATACGAGCGGCCGTCTGCTCTGAAACGAGACACACAGAGTTAACGAGTCAGCTACGACTTAATTAAGGAGACAGATTCGTCTCGTTAAGCGTATGACATAAATAATAAAGAACACAAGACACGTTCAGCCACAGTTCACGGAGCACAGTTCATGGAACACAGTACGTGACACAGCGCCCAACACAGCGCCTAACACAGTAAGGAGAACATGGGCCATTGTCTAAGCGACACAGCAAGAAAGAGCAAAAGTGAAAAACAATCAAAGGACAACAACAGCAGGAGCTTGAAGTGGCTTGTGGCAGCGCAGGTGTTGACGCAAGTGGGAACGCAAGTGGTGACGCAGGTGGGGGGCGCAGGTGGGTGGGCCCACTGTTGGACCTAGCTCTCACAAGTCAAGCCTGGCCTCGGGCCGGGCTTGGAGAGTACAGGAACTCCCAGAACCCCATCAAGCAGGGACGCAGGAGGGGACGCTGGGACGTCCAGGCTAGGAGAGGGGGAAGAGCGACCTCTAGCCGGGCGGGAAGTGGGATGGCCTGGGAACCAACCCAGGAACAGGTCTGGAAAATCCTGCTTCCTGCGTAGTGGCGAGAAACCTTCACTCTCATCCTACTTCCCGCCCTCGCTGTCATCCTCAGCCCTACCATCCTAAACACAGCCCCATGCACCACATCCTCTAACCCACCCCCACCATAGTCGTTCTTGAGCAAGTTCTCACTCGTCAAAATATGCCCGCAAGGTCGAGCTAGGCTTCAAGCCTCGTCTTCCAAATCATACTTATTTGAATGCAATGACTCAGATTCTTCCACTTGTCTTGTCTTGTTCGTACTTTTAACTTGTACAGTGAGGTGGCTTCTGCCACTTCATTGTTGCACACATTCAAATTGTTTACGGCGTGTTTAACTTGTTTTGAAAGGGAACATTGGCGAAGTTCTCTTTCTGTGCTTTCTGTAATTCACTCGTGTCTCTAGTTTCCGTCTATATCCCTTGTTCTAATGTTTCTAACTTTGAACAGTTGCTCGATATCTAGTTGGTCAATTCCCCTGATAAACTTAAATGCCAGTCTCATATTATGCTTCCGCTGTTGTCCAGTTGTGTTGCCTGCATTGCGTAGATTCCGTAGGTCAGGATCCCCGCGGCCCGGTCTCTGACCAGGCCTCCTGCTGGTCAGAAACCTCAGTTTGTCCTCAGTAGCTAAGGGCCTCAGTGTTTTTTTCCTGGTAGAGTAAAACGTCACTCGCTTATGATCCCGTTTGGAAGAGGAAGCAAAACCCGCGAAATAATGACCTTCAATTTTGCCAACACTGCGAGACTTATTAAGAGTCATGGCATGTAATGTGTTTGTAAGATGTGTTTAGTGTTTGATTTCGACCGTGTGTTTGGTGAGTACACATCTGCCGTGCGTGTTGGTGGGGCGGGGGGGGGGGGCGGAGAGGGTGTGTTTGTGTGTTAGATAATGGGGGGTTTGGAGGGAGGGTTCGAAGAGTTAGGTGACGGTGTGTGTACATTTTTCCTCTGGATCTGATTGTCGGGTCGAACCTTTACTCTCAACACTCTTTTTCACCATCAGTTGTTCAGTAAAGTGATTATGCTCGAATTTTCTTCTCGTATTTACAGTTACCAACTGTGTAACGCATTGGCCTCGACAACTTCACAATCTAGCGACTTGTGGTCCGTGATATTTATTTGTGACCCCTAAACTAATGACGTTCCTGCCGACATCACTCAGACTCATCACGTGTCCTCGTTCTAACGTTCCTTATCATTGACATTGTTTCTGGTGTATGTCGTATTTGGGGGGTTGTAGCTTGGCCTGGAAAACCCTCACCCTGCCTCACCTCACCCTGCCTCACCTCTCTCAACCTCGCCTCACCCTGCCTCACCTCACCCTGCCTCACCTCACCCTGCCTCACCTCACCCTGCCTCACCTCTCTCAACCTCACCTCGCCTCACCCCAATCGCTTTACAAACAACTGCCCAATATATTTTCAACTTACAGGCTATTCATGCCCGTGCCACCTCTTGGGTGGCTTAATCAATCAATCATATTTTCAACAAGTTACAGCCCCGCTCCTGTGCCAGGTAAGTCCACTACGGGCTCACCATAGCACGTGCTACTTGTCCCGCTCCTGTGCCAGGTAAATCCACTACGGGCTCACCATAGCCCGTGCTACTTGCCCCGCTCCTGTGCCAGGTAAATCCACTACGGGCTCACCATAGCCCGTGCTACTTAGAACATTAGTTCCCAGTAGCTGAATCTTAAAACAACACAAATCTATTTTCAATATTTGAGAGATACCCAAGAGGTGAATAACCACCAAGTGTGTGTGACCATAATGATGTTTCTCGCCCTGGTTGTCACTACGTAGTTCAACATCTCGTGAACTGTATAATCAGAACATCCGGCACATGGTGAGGACAAACTATTTAAAATGAGAGCAACGGAACCGGAAGCCAAGATGAGATCAAGACACTTTAACTGAGCAAGATTGGAATATACGAGGATAAGAATAAGAGAGAGAGATGAAGATTAAGCTACCGAAAAGGTGGCACGGGCATGAATAGCCCGTAAGTGGTGGCCCTTTTGAGCCATTACCAGTATCAAGAGCTGATACTGGAGATCTGTGGAGGTGCGACTGCACCCTGCGTGACGGGAGATGTCTCCCGTGATAAGAATAACAAGGCGACTCCTCCTTATATCCACCTCAACTCATGCATATATGTCTAGAATTTACACCTTACGAAATAATAACAGGAATCGACCAAACTGACAAAAGAGGCATTCCTGAAACTGGTAACCTTAAGAACAAGAGGTCATAGAGTCAAGCTAAAGAAACAAAGATGCCGAAAAAACTAGTAGAAAGTTTTCTTTTGCAAACAGAGTGGTAGACGGTTGGAACAAGCTAAATGAGAAGGTGGAGGAGGCCAAAACTGTCATTAATTTCAAAGCGTTATACGACCAAGCGTGCTGGGAAGACGAGACACCACGAGTGTAGCTCTCATCCTGTAACTACACTTAGATAATTACACGTACACCTAATATCACAACAGCACCTAGCAAGCACAATACACACACACACACACACACACACACACACACACACACACACACACACACACATACCAGGTTGGGGGCCTCGTAGCCTGGTGGATAGCGCGCAGGACTCGTAATTCTGTGGCGCGGGTTCGATTCCCGCACCAGGCAGAAACAAATGGACAAAGTTTCTTTCACCCTGAATGCCCGTTACCTAGCAGTAAATAGGTACCTGGGAGTTTGTCAGCTGTCACGGGCTGCTTTCTGGTGTGTGTGTGTGTGTGGTGTGGGAAAGAAGAAAAAAAAAGTAGTTAGTAAACAGTTGATTGACAGTTGAGAGGCGGGCCGAAAGAGCAAAGCTCAAGCCCCGCAAACACAACTAGGTGAATACACACACACACACACACAGAAGGAGGGAAGGTACTCCGGTGGATAGAGGAGTACCTAAGCAACAGGAGACAACGAGTCTGCGTGAGGGGTGAGGTCTCAGATTGGCGAGACGTCACAAGTGGAGTCCCGCAGGGGTCAGTCCTTGGACCTATACTGTTTCTGGTATATGTAAATGATCTCCCAGAGGGTATAGATTCGTTCCTCTCAATGTTTGCCGACGATGCAAAAATTATGAGGAGGATTGAAACAGAGGATGATAGTAGGAGGCTACAAGATGACCTGGATAGACTGAGCGAATGGTCCAACAAATGGCTGTTGAAGTTCAACCCGAGTAAATGCAAAGTAATGAAACTAGGCAGTGGAAACAGGAGGCCAGGCACAGGATACAGAATAGGAGATGAAGTACTTAATGAAACAGACAGAGAGAAAGATCTAGGAGTTGATATCACACCAAACCTGTCTCCTGAAGCCCACATAAAGAGAATAACGTCTGCGGCATATGCGAGGCTGGCTAACATCAGAACGGCGTTCAGGAACCTGTGTAAGGAATCATTCAGAATCTTGTACACCACATATGTAAGACCAATCCTGGAGTATGCGGCCCCAGCATGGAGCCCGTACCTTGTCAAGCACAAGACGAAGCTGGAAAAAGTCCAAAGGTATGCTACTAGACTAGTCCCAGAACTAAGAGGCATGAGTTATGAGGAAAGGCTGCGGGAAATGCACCTTACGACACTGGAAGACAGAAGAATAAGGGGGGACATGATCACAACCTACAAAATCCTCAGGGGAATCGACCGGGTAAACAAGGATGAACTATTCAACACTGGTGGGACGCGAACAAGGGGACACAGGTGGAAGCTGAGTACCCAAATGAGCCACAGAGACGTTAGAAAGAACTTTTTCAGTGTCAGAGTAGTTAGTAAATGGAATGCATTAGGAAGTGATGTGGTGGAGGCTGAAGCCCACATAAAGAGAATAACGTTTCAATATCGAATATAACGAATCACAGTTTCAAATGTAGATATGATAGAGCCCAATAGGCTCAGGAATCTGTACACCAGTTGATACACACACACACACACACACACACACACACACACACACACACGCACAAGGGGACACAGGTGGAAACTGAGTGCCCAAATGAGCCACAGAGATATTAGAAAGAACTTTTTTAGTGTCAGAGTGGTTGACAAATGGAATGCATTAGGGGGTGATGTGGTGGAGGCTGACTCCATACACAGTTTCAAGTGTAGATATGACAGAGCCCGATAGGCTCAGGAATCTGTACACCTGTTGATTGACGGTTGAGAGGCGGGACCAAAGAGCCAGAGCTCAACCCCCGCAAACACAACTAGGTGAGTACAACTAGGTGAGTACACACACACACACCTGGTTTCTAAGATGGTTTATCCAGGTGAGTCAACAAAGAGCTGCTCCGCTGATAACATAATCAGGACAGGTAACCAGCGAAGTACCCGTCATGACAAATATCATATCAGTCTTAACTAGAGATAAAACAGATGCCGAAACTAAGCAATTCATAAAGTCTGCTAATTAAGGACACAAATATCTTACCGGAATTTGTTTCTTCA